CTTACCTTTGGGACCCCTCCCGTTCAGGCCCCTCAGCTTCGAGACCCTCCCTGCACCCATCTCCTCCGGGACCCTAACCTCTGGGACTTCTCTCCCTACCCTTCACCTTCTGTCCCCTCCCTGGACCCCTCATCTTCAGGCCCCTCACCTCTGGGACCCCTCAACAGACTGGCCCCTCCCTGGACCCCTCATCTTCAGGCCCCTTACCTTTGGGACCCCTCCCGTTCAGGCCCCTCAGCTTCGAGACCCTCCCTGCACCCATCTCCTCCGGGACCCTAACCTCTGGGACTTCTCTCCCTACCCTTCACCTTCTGTCCCCTCCCTGGACCCATCTTCAGGCCCCTCACCTCTAGGACCCCTCAACAGACTGGCCCCTCCCTGGACCCCTCATCTTCAGGCCCCTTACCTTTGGGACCCCTCCCATTCAGGCCCCTCACCTTCGAGACCCCTCCCTGCACCCATCTCCTCCGGGACCCTAACCTCTGGGACTTCTCTCCCTACCCTTCACCTTCTGGCCCCTCCCCGTACCTCTGGGCACCTTCAGGACCCTACTCTCCGAGACCCCTGCTTGCACCCTTTACTTCAGGACCCTGAACTCCGGGACTTCTTCCCGTACTCCTCACCTTCAGGAGCCCTTCACTTGCGGGACCCTGACTTCTAGGGCATCTACCTCTCACCTTCTGTCCCCTCCCTTTCGGCAGCCCTTCCCAGACCCCTTGTCCCCCCAGTACTGGGCTCTATGTTATGTCTGGTATCACGTGTCTTCCCCGGCCGCACACATACAGTGGATCCCCCGATACCGTGTGACGGCTGCCCACTACTTCCTATTACTTCTCATTGGCCAAGGAAGGGAAGTGACGTCGGGCGCCGTGTCACATGTCTCCCCTGTACATCCCGGAAATGTAGCGGTGGCAGAAATCAGCTGGAACCGGAGAAGTGGATGAGGAGCCGGGCGCCCCTGGTATGTAGATCCGCAGCATGGCCCTGACACTGGCTTTGTATAGGAGCACACTCCGAGCTAATGTTATCTACTGAGGGGGCACAGAGGCGTCATACAGAGTGTGCGGAGGACCAGAGGTGTCATACAGAGTGTGGGGAGGACCGGGGGTGTCGTGCTGAGTGTGGGGACGACCAGAGGTGTCGTGCTGAGTGTAGGGAGGACCTGGGGTGTCATACAGAGCGTGGGGAGGACCAGGGGTGTCATACAGAGCGTGGGCAGGACCGGGGGGTGTCGTACAGAGCGTGGGCAGGACCGGGGGTGTCGTACAGAGCGTGGGCAGGACCGGGGGTGTCGTACAGAGCGTGGGCAGGACCGGAGGCGTCGTACAGAGCGTAAGGAGGACCGGGCGTCGTCGTGCTGAGCGTGGGGAGAACCGGCGTCGTCGTGCTGAGCGTGGGGAGGACCGGCGTCGTCGTGCTGAGCGTGGGGAGGACCGGCGTCGTCGTGCTGAGCGTGGGGAGGACCGGCGTCGTCGTGCTGAGCGTGGGGAGGACCGGCGGCGTCGTGCTGATCGTGGGGAGGACCGGCGTCGTCGTGCTGAGCGTGGGGAGGACCGGCGGCATCGTGCTGAGCGTGGGGAGGACCGGCGGCGTCGTGCTGATCGTGGGGAGGACCGGGGCGTCGTGCTGAGCGTGGGGAGGACCGGGGGCGTTGTGCAGCTTGTGGGGAGGGCCGGGGGCGTCACGCAGAGCATAAATTTTTATTTACTTAAACTCTTGCAAACATACAGCTTAATAATAAAAGCATATATACAAAAAATAAAAATGAATATATATATATATATATATATATAAATAAAACCAAACAAGCTTACATCAGAAAATAACAGAAAAGGAAACGTCTTTTTTTCTGAAAATAACATAAATAGAACTCTATACAAAGAAACATAATTTTATTATCCAAAATGTATTAAATTATGCAAAAACACAACCCGACCTTCACCTCAACACCCCCTCAGGCTAAGAAATGATTAAACATTTATCCCATACATGCAGCCTTTTTTCCAAAAATCTGATCTTACAAAAATCTAGGGGACGTGAAAGTACAGAAAGAGAAGCCACGCACCCAGAGACTGACAGACAGCAGTTGCGGGGACCTGACATTCCTCCACTCCTTTGTCCAGGCTCCCAGCCACCACCTGTCCTTCTCAATCTTCCTAACCTCACCCAGAATGTTATGCACCGCCACCTTGACAGGAAGGACTGTTTTTGCAAATGGAAACCTGACACTGTGCATTCCATGTGTAGTAGTGTAAAAGTGTCTTAAAATCAAAGTCCCGATGAGTTTGAAAGGCCCCGTAAGACCACTCCGCGTAACTCAAGCAGGAAAGGGACACCCAGAGCCACACCCACCCGCTTAAAGACTTCTATATTGAAGGGGCACTGAAGCAAGAAATGGTCCATCGTCTATTCCACCCCACCACACTCCACTATTGGACAACCACGGTTCTCCACAGAGCGATGCTTCAGGTTGCCCTTCACATAGAGTCTGCCATGGAACGATCGCCAGGCCAAATCCCGAAACTTTAATGGGATTCTCTCCAGATTCATCAAATACAGACCCTCCCTCATAACTGGGCCTGGGCAATCCCTCAAGGCCAATGGCTCGCTAAAGACAGATTCAACAACCCTCCTCTCCAGGGCCTTCCCAGGAAGAGACTTAATTTCCTCCACCGTCACTCACCATTGCCGAAGCATTTTCAGGCATGGGGCAATATAAGTCAGGAGCTTACCATGTTGGACCCTCAGGCTTTTCACTGGCCCACCATTCTCCCAGCTCTGAAGAAAAGGCCCAAACCAGGACTGAAAAATACCAACCCACTCAGGCGGTTCCTCTGCGAGCATGCTACCAAATCAGAGAGAGTGTGGGGACGACCGGAGGTGTCAGAGGTGTCGTGCGGAGTGTGGGGGCGATCGGAGGTGTCGTGCGGAGTGTGGGGACGACCGGAGGTGTCGTGCGGAGTGTGGGGACGACCGAGGTGTCGTGCGGAGGTGACGTGACCGGAGTGTGGGGACGACCGGAGGCGGCTCGCGGAGTGTGGGGACGACCGGAGGCGGCTCGCGGAGTGTGGGGACGACCGGGGGGGGCGCGAGGAGTACTGGTGGACTGAATGGATGTGGCCAGTAGCTGAAAAGCCCCTGATCACATTCATTACAATATAAATCCACCCCGGTATCACTGTTGGTGCTGGCAGATTTTCTTTCATTACCGGCAATGAGAGGAACGTCCTCTCGTCTAACCAGTCTCTTTCCCAGCTTTGTATTTCAGGATGGAGAGTGTTTGAGACCAATGAAGAGGACTTTTCTGTCCACAAATCTCTTACTACCTGTAATTGAATCAGGAGGTGCTCAGTCACGACCGCTTCTATGTTCTCTATCATTGGTGTCCCAGTTAGCAGAGAAGAATGAGGACAGAACATAAAGTGGAGACATTGGGGGTGTGTTTAGACCTCTTAGGTCTCCATGATGAGACATTGTCATCCCCTGGTTTAAAAGTAAAAAATAAAAAAATTGTGACCCTGTCACCACTGGTAACTGCAGATCATGTATACTTACCTTTCTGACAGCCTATGCTGTCACTTTTCTGCTCCTTGGCTGCTTTAAACAGGGCCACCTTTAGAAATCATGGGGCCCTCATACAGCCTTCCTGACAGCGTCCCCCCACCACCACCATCAAACACAGAGAAGGGGCTTTAAATACAGCCACAGCTCCCAGTAATTAAAGGTCCCCGTGCCTCATCTGTTCAGAAGCAGGGGCCGGGGATAGAGAGGAGGCTGTTTACTCATTTTCAGGATAAGGCGGTGTAGTCCTCTTTGTTGCAGCTCCTGACAGTTTGAAGTTGTGGCTTGCCCCGATGGATTGACATGGAAGAAAAGGCCGGACTCTGAGGGGTCTATTTATAAAGCATTCATTGAACTAATGTCATATACTTTAGTACAGGCTACAATTTCTGTAATATGATCTAGTGGCCAAAACGATGTATAGTTTTCTGAAAGTGAGAAAATATACCACGTGTTGGTCTCACTCACATGGCTATATGCATATTTTCCGCACGGAATGCAGGTTCTTGAAGGCAGATTCTGCATAAAATAGGAAACACCCTTTCCACCTTTTTTTTTTTTTTTTTTTTTTTTTTTTTTTTTTTCTTTTTCCTGCAAGTAGCCTCTCTCTCTCGGGGACCCTCAATACTAGTGTGTTTCCTCCGGACCAGGAAGGACTGCTCCTGTGTTTTTGTTTTTTTTTTGTTTTTTTTTTTTTTTTTTTTGTTTTTTATTTTAATGGTCTTCTGGCGGGGTACAGAGGCCGCCTGGATGGGGCTACCCCCCTAGGTTTAAGCAAGGCATGGGCCTTGCGGGGTGGCTTCTCCAGTGTTCCTGCAAAGCCCACCCTTCCTCCAGGGGTCGGGGGTGACTGCACCTTCCCGTTGGTCCAGCGGGGCTCTCTAGGGGTGGGGGCCCACTCCACTGGCTTATCGGGAGAGCCCGCTACCCTGTGTGCGGGAAGCCTACCTTGCTCCACTCCACGCCGACATCCTGGTGTGGAGATGCAGGCGGATGACGTCACAGCCGGAATTCTTTTTTAACCAAGCCATAGATGATGCAATTTTCTCTCCAAGGAAAAAAATAGCTAGATTCCCCCATCAACACAGTCCCTATTGATGGGGGAATCCCTCCCCCAGCACTGTTGTGTTCTACTGGTGGAGAACCTTCCCTGTCAGCAAAACACAATGACTACTGCTGGCGACTATAGCCACCGACAATAATCACAGGCAAGAGATCTAATAGACTGTTTGTACTAGTCAATCGATGGATCATCTTCAGTACAACCAGCCTGCCCATAGATGCATTGAATCGCGGAAGGTCCCTCTTGAACCAGCCAGTATTTGATCCATCTATGCCTGGCTTTAGCCTTGAATTCCACTTATCTGTTTACTTTTATAAATGAATTGTTATCCCTTGTTTGTGGTTTTTTTCACAGCCCCCCAGGTGTGTCCTGTGCAATGGATTTCTCCAGATTTCTAGCAGATGACTTTGAGGTGAAGGACTGGGTGAATGCCGCCTTTAAGTCGGTACAAAAAGATGCGCCTGGGAAGGTGGATGCACATGCGGCAACCTTAGTTATGAAACTACAGCTCTTCATCCAGGAGGTGAACAACTCCGTTGAAGGTATTATAACAAAGTTGTTTTTTTTTTTTTTTTTTTGTTCTTTTTGTTTGTGTTTATTTTATGGAAGCGATAATGACTGATGTTCCACTTTTTCCTATAGAAAGTAGCCATCAAGCCCTACAGAACATGCCAAGAGTACTGCGTGATATAGAGGCCCTGAGACAGGAGGCCGCCTTCCTAAAGGAACAAATGATTCTCGTTAAAGAAGACATTAAGAAGTTTGAGCAGGACACAGCCCAGTCCATGCAGGTGAGTGTTGACAGGCTGTCCTTTATTATGTCTGGACATAGATTTCATAAATTTCAGCCACTCAGCCCACTAGAGACAATAGAAAATCACTTGATTCCGTTTTGCGTGGATAAAAAAAATCTCCATTGTATTTAGGCAGCCACTACCAAACATTGGCTGCATCTGATAGGATGCGGGTGCTGTTCAGCCCAGCTGATTTACAATCAACTTTTATGCGCATACCAAAATAGACAAGAGGTAGGAACTTTAAGGGGGCCAATAGGCCTTTTGATGGGGCTGAGCTCAAGCATGTTCAGACAACAGTCCAAACCCACCTGAGCTATCCCGCTATGTACGATATTCCGTATATGTGCAGCTGCGGGGCAAGGAATACCTCCACCATCTATGATTTGCTGTTGGCTTTGACAGCTTCCTGGTGGGATAGCTCAGGCTGGTTCAGAATCATTTCCAAACCTGCCTGAGCTCAGAACTGGCCTACAATCAGCAGTAAATAGAATCCAAATGAGCCATTCACCATAAAAACTTTTTTGGTTTTAAAAGGTGTTGTACAACACACCACCCATATTTTGGATATAACCTCCTAATAATATCCTAAGAATTTTGTTGGCACTTGTTCACAACTTGGAAAAGTGGAATGTTCTAAACACTCTATGTGCATTTCGCTGAACAAATGTGTTTTTTCAGGAGTTATGAAGGTTACAAATTCTAAAGAAGGTTTATTCGGTAATCCTACATTTTAATACGTTATATTAATGTCTTAAACATTTCTATGATATTAGAGCATGTATGCTGATTTACATGTTACGTGTACTCACTGCACATCCAACATTACAAAAGCAGTCCATCAGGTCTGCAGAAAATGCCAGAGGAGGACTGCATGGGATCAGGAAGTAGCTCATTCTTGGAATAGCAAAATTATAATTGAATATGAGTCTTCCTTTGTATGTAAAAGGACTGCCACAATAATATCTATTATAATTAATTACAATAATACAATGTAAATAACCACTTCCCTACTGGGCCATTTCTAAGATTTCTCCCAAACATATAAAAAAAAAATCTTTTTGCTAGGAAATTATTTATTTTTTATATATTATATACATACACACACAACATATATATATATATATATATATATATATAATGCTCAGCATAGATGACTACACCCCAACAGATTTGTCAGAAAACCTTTACTTTCCTTTCAGAATCAACATTTTCTATGGGACACTATACTGCAAAATACTCCCACAAACAAGGGCCAATGATTGCAAACTTGATTTAATGTGCACATACAATAAAGTATTTTTCCTAACAAATTCATTCAAGACCATGTTTGCAAAAATGAAAACATCCCAGATAAAATCTTAGGAGCAAAGCTACATTTTAGACAAGAAAATCCTTATTAACAAGAATTCAACTACAAGTGAGTCTAATTATTCATTAAACATGTGTCCAGCAGAGAGTTGATTATAAAAGGGCATTACTTAACTAAACCCCATCCCATTTCATGCTGTCAGCAATGCCACCACATGAAAGAGAAATGTCACAAGGCCTGAGAAAGAAAAAAATTCTTTACACAAGAAAGGTGAAGGCTACAAGAAGATCAGCAAAGCTTTACTTATCTGTCAGAATACTATAGCAAAATTGATACAAAAATTGAACAAAGTTGGAACTGCAACCATCTCACAGAGACATCCAGGCCGTCCACAGAAGTTAACACTTCGATAAGAGCGACTTCTGATAAGGGTTGAACAAAAATCGTCATGCAAGTTCACTGCAGTTCGCTAAAGAATTAGAAAGCCAAACTGGGGTGAGTGTTTCCCATGACACAATACGGCATACACTGCAGAGGAACGGCATGCATGGTGTCGTCCACAAAGGAAACCTCTCCTAAAGCCCATGCACAAATAATCCCGCCTAGAATTGGCCAGGGCCCATGCTGAAAAAGAAGACTATTGGGACTCTGTACTCTGGAGTGATGAGACCAAGATAGATGTTTTTGGAACTGATGGCTTTCAAACTGTATGATGTCGCAAAGGTGAGGAGTGCAAAGAAAAATGCACAGTAGCTACAGTGAAACATGGTGGTGGCAGTGTCCTTCTGTGGGACTGCATGAGAGCTGCTGGTGTCAGGGAGCTGCATTTCTTTGATGGTATTGTGCATTCCCAGATGTACTGCTCTATATTGAAAGAGAAGATGCTGCCATCACGCTGTGCTCCTGGTCGTCGTGCACTTTTCTAACACAACAATGATCCAAAACAAACATCTAAGGCCACTGCTGAATTTCTGAAGAAGAACAGGGTGAAAGTGATTCAGTGGCCAAGTATGTGTCCTGATCTGAACCCAATCGAACACCTATGGGGAATTCTGAAGAGACAAGTTGAGCATCACTCTCCTTCCAGCATCCAGTCTCTAAAAGCATCCAGGCTCCCAGTGTCGCCGGACACAGACCCCTGTGTACAAAAACATAGAAAACATATCAAGATAAACATATATCCATGCGTCACACAAACAATATATTAGTTTTTTTAAATTTTTAGGCATATTGCCATGTAACATCAATGCATAGCTCCCTAAAATATAACCTATTTACAAAAATGGCTTGAAAGTTGTGCAGCAATTTGTCAGTACTGCAAAGCTAGAAATTAGGAGGTATCCGAATGATGCAGCAAAGCACCACGCCTACCTATTGGTGTCAATAAATGCTAACTGAATAAACTTGATCTTACATCCTGCAAAATGGGCGTTGTGTTTTGCCAATGTAGAAACTGCCACATTGTCATTGTACCATATAAATCGGGCCAATGATTAAGCAATCAACATAATATTTGAGAATAAAATGTGTCCCATGAGGTAGCATAATGGTTTGGTTTGTATTAATGTACAGTGGGGATCGAAAGTTTGGGCACCCCAACTAAAAATTTGTATTAATGTGCATAAAGAAGCCAAGGAAAGATGGAAAAATCTCCAAAAGGCATCAAATTACAGATTAGACATTCTTATAATATGTCAACAAAAGTTAGATTTTATTTCCATCATTTACACTTTCAAAATAACAGAAAACAAAAAAATGGCGTCTGCAAAAGTTTGGGCACCCTGCAGAGTTAATATCTTGTACTGCCCCCTTTGGCAAGTATCACAGCTTGTAAATGCTTTTTGTAGCCAGCCAAGAGTCTTTCAATTCTTGTTTGAGGTATCTTTGCCCATTCTTCCTTACAAAAGTCTTCCAGTTCTTTGAGATTTCTGGGCTGTCTGTCACGCACTGCTCTTTTAAGGTCTATCCATAGATTTTCAATTATGTTGAGGTCAGGAGATTGCGAAGGCCATGGCAAAACCTTCAGTTTACGCCTCTTGATGTAATCCCCCGTGGATTTCGAGGTGTGTTTAGGATCATTATCCATTTGTAGAAGCCATCCTCTCTTAATTCAGCTTTTTCACAGATGGCATCAAGTTACCATCCAAAATTTGCTGAAATTTTATTGAATCCATTTTTCCTTCTACTCGTGAGATGTTCCCTGTGCCACTGGCTGCAACACAACCCCAAAGCATTATTGATCCAACCCCATGCTTAGGGGTTGCATCAGGCTTGTCTATATGTTCATTTGCAAAGTTCAAACAATGATTTTTGTGGTGAGGACGTAGAAGAGGTTTTCTTCTGATGACTCTTCCATGAAGACCATATTTGTACAAGTATCTCTTTATAGTGGAATAGTGTACCACAACTCCAGTGTCTGCCAGATCTTTCTGGAGGGATCGTGCAGTCAAACGTGGGTTTTGAATTTGTTTTTCTCACAATCCTGCGAGCTGTTCTGTCTGATATTTTTCTTGGTCTTCCAGATCTTGCTTTAACTTCCACTGTTCCTGATGACTGCCATTTCTTAATTACATTCCGAACAGAGGATATTGACATCTGAAAACGCTTTGCTATCTTCTTATAGCCTTCTCCAGCTTTGTGAGCGTCAACTATTTTCTGTTTCAGTTTTCTAGACAACTGCTTAGAAGAACCCATGTGTGCTGATTGTTGGGGCAAAGTCAGATGAGTCCGGGCATTTAAAACCTTTGAGATTGACATCACCTGGTCTTCCCAGACGATGATTGAGAACAATCCATGACACTGGCAGGTCTCAGCTTGGCAAAGGGGGTAGTGCATGCTATAAATTCTGCAGGGTGCCCAAACTTTTGCAGACGCCATTTTTTTGTTTTCTGTTATTTTGAAAGTGTAAATGATGGAAATAAAATCTAACTTTTGTTGACATATTATAATAATGTCTAATCTGTAATTTGATGCCTTTTGGAGATTTTTCCATCTTTCCTTGGCTTCTTTATGCACATTAATACAAATTTTTAGCTGGGGTGCCCAAACTTTCGATCCCCACTGTATTTATAATCGTTACAGCTGCCACATGCCAATGTGCTTTCTTGCTTGCAAGGGTCCCTTTCCATTTTTCCTGTATAGAAACTATTAAAGCGGAACTACACTGCACCCGAGCACCACAAACAAAAAATACTATTTTAATCTTTAAAGGAAACTTGCCCATTCATCATTGTCTCCATGATTTATTTTGCTGAGATATCACTTTGAAAGACACCGTCCCCCTTCCGGTCTTCCGGCTTCACAGACGGTTTCCTACCGCACATGTGAATGGCCCCGCAGTCTTCTGGGGCCTGTCATGTGTGTCACACACAGCTTTGGGGGGTGGGGAGGGGCCAAATATTGCCACGGCAATTTGACTGGAATTGGGAGTGGGTGCCTGTCACAACCAGGTACCCGCTTCCCCCCCCCCCAAAACAATTGTGGCGGGGGGGAGGAAGCAAACAAGTGGAAGTTCCCCTTTTTCGGTGAAGTTCCACTTTTAAGGCCTCAATCACACCATATACAGAGACGTGAGGTTTTTTGCACACGTTCTGCAAGGGCACAAAGAAAAACAATTGTTTTTTATGTGCTCTGTTCACACCACAAAACTAGTATCACGTGCAGATTTTTTCTTTGTAGGAATCTGCAATGTGTATAAAACTCACTGAATTCCACATGAAAACTGATGTAAACCCGTGTCTTGGCAAGTGAAATCTGTGTGATTTTTTTTTTTTTTTTTTTTTTTTTTTTTCCCATCAGTTTTTCTGCACGTATGGTGTGAATGAGGCCTGAAACACATCTTCTTCTCTTAATCCTTGGAGCTTGGGAGTATTAGTAGTTTATAGAGGGTAGACATCATTGTTTTTGATTTCAGTTCAGGTCACAGGAAGTGATCAGGACACTGTGCTTCTTGTAGGATTGACAGATATTTCTGTATTTCAGGTTTTCTGTACCTGTTGAATATGTTTATAGTCTGAAAAATGGAAAAAAAAAAAAAAAAGCAATGCAGTGTATAAGGACTATAACTTTTAAAATCCAATCTGGGATTCATACAATACATGTTATATCTGGTGACTGTTCTCTGCAGGTTCTGGTGGAGATGGATAAAGTAAAATCACGCATGCAGTTGGCGGCAGAGTCCCTGCAGGAAGCTGACAAGTGGAGTACGCTCAGTGCAGACATTGAGGAAACCTTTAAAACACAGGTGAGTTCCCTGTTATATCTGCTTGAGCACATCAATGTTTTTTTTTCCTACTGTATTATCTCACTTCTGCTAATGTGGATTGAAACAGATCAAAACAATTCTTACAAAATTGACCTCCAACTTCTTCCAGCTGTTGATTCTAGAGCAAGGTAGATCACATGGGGATGTCCACATCTTTTAGGAACCCAAAGCTGCTGATGGTTTAGTATGAGACCACGTTTATTAGTGGCTATCATTTATAAAATATTTTAGAATAGTTTTTTTTTTTTTTTTTTTTTTTATGTTCTTTATTCAAGTTGTCACATATCCATCAAAGATAAACAGATGATGCAAGTATGTTAACCACTTACCCTCCTGAGGATTTACCCCCCCCCCCCCCTTCCTGACCAGGCCATTTTTTTTGCATTGCGGCGCTGCGTTACATTGACTGACAATTGCGCAGTCATGCAACACTGCACCCAAATGTAATTTACGTCCTTTTTAATGACTAATTGAGCTTTCTTTCAGTGATATTTGATCGACTGTGCTGTTTTTTATTTTTTGCGCTATAACTAAATATAGACCGACAATTTTGTGAAAAACACTATATTTTGGACTATTTGCTATTAAACATGTCCAGTAACAAAAAATTAAAACCTCAAATTTCATCTGCGACGTCTTTGCTAAAAAAATCCCAATACGTGTAAATTTATTGGTTTACTTGAAAGTTATAGCATTTCCCAGTGGCGGTATAGATGCTGGGATTTTTTTTTTTCTACTAGCATTGGCAGCGATCAGCGACTTTTAGCGGGACTGCAGTAGACATTCTGACACTGGGGGGAACTGACTTTGTGTCACTGACATCCCCAGTGATACCAATACAGTGATCAGTGCTAAAAAAATAGCACTGACACTGTACTAATGGCACTGGGTAGGAAGGGGTTAATATGAGGGGCGATCAAACAGCTAACTATGTGTGGGGAGTGTTTTACTAGGGGACAGAGGGTGTGTGCTTCACTGTAAGCACACTGCTCTGGATGGCTGTGCTGTGCACAGCCATCCAGAGCAGAAAGCCCGAGCCAACAGGGAGGAAGACTGTTAGTAAACAAAACAGTCTTCCCCCCCGTCGGAGATGGTAATCACCAGGCGCCGGCGGGTAATTACCGGCCGGGACCCGGTGATTGATAGCCATGGCCGCAAATGGTGGCATGGGTAGGCCAAAATGTCTTCCAACCATCCCATTTCCTGTTGAATATTTGCATCCTGTCTAGCAATGTATATTGAGTACGTTCCATGAGCATAAGCATATCAACTCTACGCAAAACACAGGACAAAGGCACTGCTGGTGACTTCCAATGAAGAGCAATGGCCCATAGGGTAGAGACACAGTATGAATTAGCCTCATTATGTTGGTTGGAATCCCCAAAATGGAATGGAATTTTCAATGACAAATTTACTGGAGTATCGGCCAAGGCCACCTTTACGCCAGATCAAAAAAGACCAGGGCAAGCCCAAAACATATGCACCAGAGTACCAGCAAGGCCATAACTACTAAAACAGAGGTGCGACGTTCCTGGAAACAGGTTATGTAGTCTAGAGTGGGTATAATACCAACGGGTTAAAACTTTAAGGTCTGTCTCACGAACTGAAAGAGACCTAGATTTCCTACATATATTATCCACCATGGATTCCCAGTCCTCTTCTGAAAATGTAATACCACAATCAGCCTCCCATTTCTGTCTATATAAGGGGGTGCGGCAAAGATGGCATTCGAAAAGGAGCGATATAAATCCAAAATAAGACCCCTACCCTTGGCAGAGTCACAACTGATATGTTCAAAATAAGTGATTGGGGGCGAAGGTGTCTGTCCAAAATGGGAACTGAAAAATGTCTTATTTGCTGATATCGATAATCTTCTCGAAGCTGAATATCGAAAAGCGTCCGTAACATATCAAAGGACATATAAGATCCACTCCTCTGAAAGATCAATAGCTTTCTAAATGAAATGTAACCATAGTAATGAAACTGGAAGGGTATGTATGAACTATGTGCACCCAAATTAAAGTGGGGCTTACAAGTAGTAAAGGGGACTGGAGGGAGATGAACAGGAGAGGAAAGGAAGCCTACCATTCAAAGGTGAAGTCTGAAGAAGGGGTTGAGAAATAATGCTGCCTCCTGGAAGGTCTCAGGATAAAGGAGTAAACTATACTACCAGGACATGAACAAACCACTTAAAGGAACTTATGTACGTTTCATTGCTCTCTTATGCCACTTGGGTTGGTGAGTTAGAAACATATGCCATCACTTTTAGTATATGTCCTACCAAAGTAAGGACGCCGTTGCTTTTGGATAGGAATCTGTGGAATTATAATAGTTCCAAGGCCCCCCCTCATCAGCCTGAAATTTTCGTGTTATGTAAAGTGGAAGGTAAAGGATAAGTTCACCTTTGTTACATGTCCCACCTGTATTTAGCATGGAACATGTAGTGTATTCCACAGCTGCAGCTTGAAGTATATCATTGGAAATTGAATACCACATATGGATGGTAGGAGGGGAACTGTTAGGGATCGGGTGTGACCAGAAATGTGTGGACTGACACAGGGAAGTAGCAGGCTTCAGGAACACAGGCGTAGTCAGGGCTGGAGAGGTGGAATGGTCAGGTGGGCCGTAAGGTACTGTCAGGCACCGCCCGGCGGGATCTCGAGAGACCCACAGAACAGGATTCCCCAGGGCGCGGAGCCTAAGCCCCAGTCTGCCTTTTCACCAGAGCCCCTGATGGTGGGGATAGACTTGGCGCAGGACTGAGACCAGGTCGCGGCCCCTGAGTGCACCCAACTGTGGTAGGGGGGTCCACCGAGGGTATGTACCGGGGGAAAGCCTGATGTGAAGAGGCTGGCAGGTTTGCACAGTAGTGACTGGATCGGTGCGGGATGGATGGATCGTCTGGGTAGCGTCAGGCAGACCGGGTCAGCAACGTGCGGGCAGTGAGGGTACCGGAGGAGCAGGCAGAGAATAGTCAGGGTCACAAGCCGGGTTCAGTAACTCACGGGCAGCGCGGTACAGAGGATCAGGCAGAAGGATGGTCAGGCAAGCCAGGGGTTCAACAGGAGATGGTCAGCATAGGTCAGGATCAAAGCAGGGTCAGCAACTAGGCAGATAGGCAGGAACACAGGATACCAGGTACAGGGGCTCATAGGAAACATACACCAAGGCACTGACTGCAGGTCTGGCCATTCCTTAAATACACCTCCTGCAATCAGCCCCAGGTGTTGGCTGATTGCAGGAGTGAGCTTCTGGCTGCTGAGAGCACCCGCTGGTCAGCCCTGGTACTGCAGCCCACACAACAGGTGAGTCCCACCCACCAGTGCTGAGTCCATTCCTGACAGGAACTCTGCTTCCACAAAAGGGGAATACAGGCTTTAGCTATGTTAGTAAGGCAGGCGTTGTATTTAGACAGGTTTCCTTGCAGTGGCATGAAATAGGCAGGCATCCGGGTCCTGTTTGAGGTCTTGCATAGTCAAGTGTGCAATCGTATCGGTGACTTCAGTCCAGAAAGGTCCAAATTCAGTATTCCCAATGCACACATTTCTGCAGATAGCTATTCAGTATTGCTGGGTGCTGTAGTGACCACAAGCTGGGAACCTCAGACAATTCAAGTGAAGAAATCTCACCAGCACACCAAGGATTCCTCAATTTGGGTCCAAAGCTTTATTTTGTGGTCACATGATGAACACAAAGGCAACATTTCAGAGCCACACAGGGCCCTTTCGACAGGCACTTTGTTAGTCACTAGCCGGATGAAGGGGCTCTTCGTGGCTCTGAAAGGTTGCTTCTGTGTTCATCATGTGACCACAAAATAAAGCTTTGGACCCAATCTGAGGAATCTTTGGTGTGCTGGTGACATTTCTTCAGTCCAGAAAGGATGCAGAAAGCAGAAATTAAATTTCTCAAAACATTCACTCAGTGTACAACCCCTCTAGGTTTCCAGGGTTATGGAAGCTGAGATTAGAAATGTTCTATAACGGTAGTGGCTGCAATTTGAAGTGGAAATGTAATTTTGTAACTGATATTAACTTATAACATGGGTTGCATAATTTTTATAGATGAATTGAAGTTTTCCCCTAATGACTTCATAGTAAGGTGGGTGGCAACACTTTTTCCTGGGACCACCTACTAATACATTTTAGATTGACAACAAAGTAAAATGTCTTAGTGATTGACTCTCAGAGCAGACAGTCCAACGTCCAGCCTGGTTTATAGAGAAAAGATGATATAAAGATGGATTTTAGACATTGTCATATCTAAAATGTTTAAATGACTTCAAAACTGAACTAAGGGTTTTTTATTATAATATTTGATCATAGTTTTGCTTTAACTTTTAAGACTTGGATGCAGTTGCTCAATACAATGCTTGTCTCTTACAGAACATTACAGTTATCTCTGAAAAGCTGACTAGTATGCAGGTGAGCCTGGCAATGCTGGTGGATACCCCAGATTATTCAGAGAAATGTGTATACCTGGAGGCATTGAAAAATCGTCTGGAAGCCATGTGCAGTCCTCAGATAGTGGCAGCTTTCAACAGCCAGTCTGTGGGTAAGAAATGCAGCTGCAGTAACAGAATCAGGGTTTCTTGACCAATCTTTTTTATCAAGAAATAAAAAGAATGTTCAAGCCTGCTATATATTATTCAGTGTTTAAGGGCAAGCCTGTCAAAAGCTTTGGTTGGCTGAACCTCAACGTTTCCTGGACTGTTACTGAGAGACTAGTTGCCTGATTGTCTCTGGCTTCAGTACTTTGAGTCCATGAAATTATGCAGATGAAAATGTTAATTTGAATGCATAACTCTTGATTTGCATAGTTCCCGGTCAAGTATTGAAGCCAGAGAGCCGTACAGGTGGAGATCTGAACATACCAGCCCATACAAAAGGACCTTTAAGGGGGTTTTGCACCCCCTTTTTTCTTTTGCATTGTAGAACAGCTGAGTCTTCTTACAACAGGGCATATTCAACACCAGAACAAACTAGGGAAATCGGCAATCAGGCCAGCTCTGTACTCAGCCTTTACAGAACTTGATGTACATTAAAGTATAACTAAAAGCAAAACTTGCTTTAGTTTGGACAGAGTGGGGAGAGATTAGAACCTCTGTCAGTTTTTTTTATTGCTGTCTGTTCCCCTATTAGGGAGATTCACCCTCATTATTTCTTCTGTTTACCATTTTCATTGAACGTGAAAAAAAAAAAAAAAAAATCACACATTTTGGGTTGTCTCCAGAAAGGTATTAGATGGGAAATCTTCAAATGGGGACACTAATTCCGCAATCTCACAGGGGTTATAGCCGTTCCTTGCTCTATCCAAAACAGGGGAAAAAAAAAAAAAGTATTGCCTATAGTTTATTCTTTAAAAACGCACTCACACTTTTGAAGGAGCACAATATGATGGACACTTAAACAAAAATGAGCTGCATGGTCGAGGTGCCAGAAAGAAGCCTTTACTGCATCAATGACACAAAAAGGCCTGGTTAGGCATGTCAAGGTGTTGTTGGGCATATTGTAACTGGGCTTTTTTGTGGCATTGGTGCAGTAAAAGCTTCTTTCTGGCACCTCGACCAAACAGCTAATTTTTGTTCAAGTATGACTGTATTGTACTCCTTAAAAACAACCACACCAGAGCAGCCTGTATTTCTTTTGAGGTTGCCTGTGGGTTTTTCTTTGAGTCCCGGACAATTCTTCTGTCCGTTATGTCTGCAATCTTTCTTGGTCTACCTGAACGTGGCTTGGTATCGAGATCCCTGAACTTTCCACTTCTTAAGTTATTTAACACTACTGATTGGCATATTCAAGGCTTTGGACATCTTTTTATGTCCTTTTCCATCTTTATAAAGTTCCATTACCTTGTTACGCAGGACTTTTGACTGTTTTTTTTCTGATCCCCATGGCTCAATATCTAGCCTAGTCAGTGCTTCCACGTAAGAGCTAACAAACTTATTGACTATTTATACACTGACACTAATTGCAATTTAAAATGCAACAGATGTGGGACATTAACCTCTAATTGGCATTTTAACCCGTGTCTGTCACCTTGTGTGTCTGTACCAAGGCCAAACATTCCAGGGGATGTAAACTTTTGATCCGGGCCATTTGGGTGATTTCTGTTATTATGATTTAAAAAGGAGCCAAACAACTATTTGATAATAAATGGCTTCATATGATCATCATCCTTCAATAAGAGCATTTTTTGGCATGATGAGTCATATTTTCAATATCCATGCCAAAATTTCACAATTTCGGCCAGGGTATTTAAACTTTTGAGCACAACTGTACTTTAATAGTGTGTGCTTGTCTCAATTAGGAGCACTAAGTGTAATGTCAGTCTGCTGCCCTGTTCCTCTGCTATCAGCATGAATCAATTCTGGCAAGTTTTCCTGACACCAAGAGAAAAATCGTGACGGGGAGGGACCTCCAGCAAATTGACAGCCTCCACTCTATTCCTGTGAGCTGTGTAGAGGGGGGTGTGTCTCTTCCATCCAATTAGCTCTCATCATCTCTGCCCTCCATTTTCTGAATTATCAGACAAGCTTTATAAATTCAGCACTTTGAATGGATGTAGAGAAAATAAATGTGCACATAAACATGTACAACTTATGTCGGAGGATTTGTTTCATTGCTGTGTATCACCTGAAGCCAGTCTCTTCACTGGATATATGTAAGAGTTTACAACCACTTTAGGGTAAACCCTCACATCCTTTTCAGATCCTCCTGCCAGGATTTTATGATCAACCATCTCCTCATATAAAAAAAAAAAACTTTAAAAGATCAAATTAAATGTTAATGAGCGAGAGGAGAGACTGTCATGTCCCAAGCTGGACTTTAACAATCATAAATCCAGGTACCTGTTGAACTTCTGTCTTCTTTTAAAGCCAAGTATACCCCTTCCCAGGTTAATCCTCAAGTCACCCGGACCTATTTATCACACTGCATATAATTTTGTATCCTTTATGTACACTATATTGCCAAAAGTATTGGGACTTCTGCCTTTACACGCACATGAACTTTAATGGCATCGCAGTCTTAGTCCGTAGGGTTCAATATTTAGTTGGCCCACTCTTTGCAGCTATAACAGCTTCAACTCTTCTGGGAAGACTGTCCACAAGGTTTAGGAGGGTGTCTATGGGAATGTTGGACCATTCTTCCAGAAGCACATTTGTGAGGTCAGACACTGATGTTGCAGTCTCCGCTCTTATTCTTTCCAAAGGTTTTCTGTCGTTCTGAAGTCAGGACTTCAGGCCAGTCAAGTTCCTCCACCCCAAACTCACGCATCCATTGCTTTGTGCACTGGTGCACATTCCAAAATGTCTTGGTATGCTGACGCCTTAAGAGTTCCCTTCACTGGAACTAAGGGGCCAAGCCCAACCCCTGAAAAACAACCCCACAGCATAATCCCCCCTCCACCAAACTTGTTTGTAGAAGCAGTCTGCATGCCTAGGTGCTTGACTTTATACACCTATGGCCATGGAGGTGATTGGAACACCTGAATTCAGTGATTTGAAGGGGTTTCCCAATACCTTTGGCAATATAGTGTTTATGAGCACAGTCATATTAGCCTATTACATGCACATATTACATAAATTCTACAACCACTACAAATGAAAATTTACTAACTGCCCAATCATTTCCTCTTTAAAAAAAAAAACAAAAAAAAACAAATGCCCAGAAATACGTTTTTGGCTTTTGTGGTAGGTATGGTTTAGCAGTCAAAAAACTAAGAAATCCTGTGCAATTGATAGCCCCTGTGTGGGCGAGTTTTATTGCCTCTGTTTTATAAAGTTTAAAAATTAATAAAAACCATTGGAATATAAAAAACTAAGAAATCTAGAGTGATGCTTTCATTTCTTTCCAGCAGGGGGAGCTTTGTACCAAAATTCAAACTGCTCAGTTGAAGCTTATTAAAAAGAATGTAGATGCATTGAAGAGTGAGAAAAGAGCCTAAAGTAGAATTTCATGTTTAACCGTTTCAATACCGGGCAATTTTACACCTTCCTGCCCAGGCCATTTTTCACGTTTCAGCGCTCTCACACTTTGAATGACAATTGCGCGGTCATACAACATTGTACCCAAACTAAAATTTTATAATTTTCTTCACACAACTAGAGCTTTCTTTTGGTGGTATTTAATCACCGCTGGGGTTTTTATTTTTTGCTAAATTAACAAAAAAAAGACCAAAAATTATGAAAAAAGCACGTTTTTCTTTGTTTCTGTTATAAAAGTTTACAAATAAATAATTGTTCTTCATAAATTTAGGCCGAGATGTATTCTGCTACATGTCTTTGGTGACAAAAACCCAAATTAGGATGTATTATTTAGTCTGTAGGAAAGTTATAACGTTTACAAACTATGGGATATATCTGAAAATTGATCAATCCTGAAGTACTGACTGCCAATCTAATTTCTTGAGGTCCAAGAATGTCAGAACAGTACAGATATCCCCCAAATGACCCCTTTTTGCAGAGTAGACAGTCCGACGTACTTCATAAGAGGAATGGTGAGTTTTTTGAAGTTGTATTTTTTTTGTCATAATTTTTCGGAAAATTAAAAAATTAAAAAAATTATTTTCACAATTTTTTTTTTTTTACATACTGTCACCAGTGCAGTACAGCGTCATCATATAAGTGGCATGGCGGTGATCAGGGACACTGACTGGTGACAGTATGGGAAAAAAAAAAAAATATATATATATATTTTTTTTTTTTTTTATTATTTTTAATTTTTTATTACTTTTTTTTATTTTTTTTAAAGATTTTTTTTCATAATTTACTATGACCAAAGTAGTACAATGTTACCATAGTAACATTGTACTACTTTGGGGAAGTGATCAGTATTTTTTTTTTTTTTTTACACAATTTGCTTATAGCAAAGAATTACTTTGCTATAAGCAAGCATTCATTCGATTCATTCAGGTTTTTTTTTTTTTTTGTGCTTAGCTGTGATTTGCTCACAGCTAATCACATGACATGTGCATGTGATTAGCTGTGACCATTCACAGCTAGGCACTAGTATACAATGGATGGCATGAATGAAGCCATCTATTGTATACAACTGTCATGTGACCTGCTGTGATTGGTCACAGCAGGTCACATGGTACCAGCAACGGGGGCCGGTACTCAGATCTGTCATCGGCCGTGCCGAGGTACACGGCGGGTGACAGATCGCGCCGCTGCGAGGCTCTGCATTACCGCAAACTGCGCATGTGCGGGTGCACGCCAAATGGCGTGCACCCGGAATGCCGATGCGCTTTTGAAGCCGCCAAACGGCCATTGGCCGGGCGGCTAATGGTTAACATCCTGAAACGTCATCTACCTTCCTACCTTGGCCAATCAGATGAAGCTTTGCATTCACTAATGAAAATACAAGGCTTGCCTAATCTCGATAACATCATCAAGAATGCTAATGGTGGCAAGAGCACCCATCTTCCTCAGCGAAAGAAGCCTAAGAAACCTATTATTATTATTATTTTTATTGATATTATACAGGATTTATATAGTGCCAACAGTTTGCTTTACAAAATGAAGGCAGACATTACAGTTACAATACAATTTGGTACAAGAGGAAAGAGAGAGCCCTGCTTGTTAGGTTCTCTCCCTCTCCCTTAACTATTAAGAAACATCTCATTTTCATTTTTTCTTGACCTTTTCATCATGACCCCCCAAGCTTGACTCTCCGACCTCCCGCAAGTCCTGGTACTCCCAAGTCTGCCATAATCTAGACAAACCTTCCACTGCACGAAGGTGCACATCCACTTTCCATACTGGGGAATGTTTCTTATGTTTGTTGTTGAATGTTGTTGGCTATCCTTTGTAGACACTTGGACAGCGTGCATCTCAGACAATTGGATGCAGGAGGTGATATCCCAGGACTACAAATTGGAGCTTCTATCCCTAAACCTCCCCTATTCTGAATTCAGGTATTATTGCTCTAGTTCCTATGGTAGAACAAGCTCCAGGGGCTTTTTTTTACAATTTGTTAACTTTTACTAAGCCCAAAGGGGGAATGCACCTCATTCTGTATGTCAGTGCTCTGTTTTCAAGTCCAAAACCTTGCACATGGATTCTACCAAATCTTCATCAGGGAGACTTTCTGGCTTTTGTGGGCATTCAAAGATATTTGCATGTTCCCATCTTTCTGCATCAGTGATCACTACGCTTTTCTGTGAGGTGTTTTGTCCCTTATTTGCACCTCCGGTGTCCACCAAATTACTGGTCCCAGTACTGGCCCTGCTGTGCTCTTCTGGCATTCCAGTTGTGGGATATTTAGACAACCTCTTGTCCAGAGGACAGTAGGCATGGGCTGTGTCAAACAGCATGACTTGACTGTGCAGACATTACAAAGGTTCAGATTGATCCTGAACCTTCAGATATTTTTGCTGGAAGAGATTAGCCCTGGACATAGTTTAGGCTAGAGCGTTCCTTCCATCCAGCCTTTTTGAGCATCCTTCCACCCCAGGAGTTTCTGTGTGGGAAAATCTTCTCTTTCTAGCATCTGCATCTGGACCAGCATTTGGCTGTCAGCACCATCAAAGGTCAGCCATTTGTCTATTCTGTTCTGTTTTACCTTTTGATTAGACCTTTGTACAGGGGGCCTCCCCCATCCCCACTCATCTGTTCCCCTGTGAGTCAGTAGGGTCTGAATTTGTTTTTCTCTGTATTTCAGAAACTGCCTTTTGAACCTGTTAGAGACATTCCTCTCTCTACTATCAACCACAAAGTGACATTCCTTTTAGCCATCACCTCTGCAAGTTGAATGTCTGAAATGGCGGCCTTACACTGCAAGGATCCATTTCTTGTTTTGCATAGGCTGTTGTTGAAGGCCAATAAGAATTTTCCCTCCATTATCTTGATGTAATTCCCGCTGTTACCTCTCAGCCACTGCTTCTTTCAGGAAGACTAATTCCTTTTCTTTCATCCCGGATGGACATTGTAAGGGTTCATTGGCTTTTCATTCAACCATTTCTAGGTAGAATTCCAAGGAGCAATCTACTAGATCCGCAAGTGCTTCTTGGAATGTTTGCCAAATTTTTCCCAGATTTGCAAGGCTGCCACGTGGTCTGTTCACACCCTTTCTTTGTTCTACCAGGTGGACATTTTGGCCTCATCTGATGCCAGCTTCCAATATAAGCCCCTTTTAAGCAGCTCTTTGAACTGCAGGCAATCTCCAGATTTGTTTTTTTTCTCGTTAGTGATTGTTTTCTTTCCCATCAGTTGGACTGCTTTTGGACAATCCAAAGGTAAAGACTTCCTGCATCCCTTAATGTGTGAGAAGAAGATAGGATTCTTTTGGTCGTCATAAAATTCCTTTTTTTGGAGTCCAGTTAGGGACCCTTGGCATGCTTGAGGGATTAACCTGGGTTGGTGTATAGGTTTTATTGTTTGCCATTGTCTACTCCTGCAGGTGGCAATATAACTTAAATGTTAAAGGATAAGGTTACCTTTTTGCAGGTAAAAAAATTTAGCATTTATAATTTTTTTTTTAATTGGGAGCCTGTAAAGCATTGCATTCGTGATCGGCATATCGCAGGTGCAGTGCAGGGCTCTTGCAGACTGTCAGTGTAAGCTCTCTGCTTGTACCTCATATGGGTAGGCAGTTACACACTAACAGTAAACGTCAGTGAATTACCGTGAGCGCTCAACAGCGCCCTGGCTGTCGGTACTTGTAGTTCTCCCATTCACAAAATTTTGTGAAAGAATCATGCAGCTGGGAGGATGGAGCCCTGCACGACCACAGATTTTTTAAAATTGTGACAGCCGGTGTGGGGAGAGGATCCCCAGCCTGCTGTCACAGCAGGGACTCAGTGGGGGAGCGCAGGGGCAGCTGCATCAGTAACATAAAATACATGTTACACCCTGAGCTCAAGTGTAACCAGTAATAAGTAATAAAAGGTGAACGTATCCTTTAAAGCAGGGTTTAAAATATCAAGTCCTGAGCTACTAGCCAGGTCTTAAGAGTTACTCGCCACTCACAAACACACACAAACAGAGACACCTGTACACACACACAGACATGTATATACACACACACAGAAACATATACACACACGCACAGAGACACATGTACCCACCCACACACACATACAGACACACGTATACACACACAGGCACGTACAGACACGTATTCATGTACAGACACAGAAACACACACGCACAGACACATGTACATACACATGTACATGCGCACACACAGACACATGTACACACACACACATACATGTACATACACGCAGACACATGTACAGATACACACATGTACATACACACAAACACACATATGTACGCACGCATGCTGTTAAGTGCTCTCTCCTTTCCCCTGAAGCCACCACTGGCTGACAGAGGATCATGTGACCAGAGTGAGCTGAAATTAGGTAGGCACACACGTACACACACACACACCTATATAAAGTTGCAGTACTTCGTTGTTCACTCACAGAGCCGGGTACTGCACTCTAGGGGGAGGCAGAGAGCACAGCACACTCTCCTTCCTTTGCTTTCACTGCGCTCAGCTATTGAGCAGTCTGACAGCTCCCGGTGCCAATGACAGATCCGGCCTGAGCTCCGAGCCTGCTCAGCAAGACGGTCCTGGGGGACACGCTCGCCCCCACCATAATTTCCACTCACCATTGACAAGCAGGCGAGTGGAAATTTCAAGACCTGCTTTAAAGACTCAGTAGACTCCAAGAAAAAAGATTTTAAAAAGCGCAACTACATTGCATATGAGCACCACAAAAACGCTATTACATTTATTTTTAATATTCAAAGCAAACACATCCATCCATCCGTTTTTATTTTCTGAGAAATCACTTTGAAAAAACACCCCCAGCATTTTAGGCTTTGGACATATAGAGTAGGGGCAAATGATTAATGTAGAATTTTATTCCTGGATTCCATCTACCCTTAACTCAGGAACGAGGGTGTGCTTGGCTGAGAAAATCCTTCCTCCCTTCCTGTAGACTCCTGGAATGTATGATATTATTTGCTTAGACCAGGAAACCAGGAAGTAACTGAAAAAATGTAAAAAAAAGAAAAAAAAAAAGAAAGTTTAACACAAGTAAATATGATATACTTTCCTATCTACTTACTAATGATAACAACATAAGGAATAAACATAGTCTGTTGATTGAGAGAGTAAAGTTCAGCTTTAAGGGAAGTACAAAAATCCTATTTTTTTCATTTATAATTTTTTTTTTTTTTTTTAAATGGCATTTTTAAATATACAAAAATGAATATTAAAGCTGTTTGGACTAAGTGGTTCAATAGGGAGGTAAGCAATGTTTTTTTAACCTTTTCTTACAGACCAAGCCAAGATGTTTGTGAAGGTATTCAGTGAGATTGACAGGATGCCACAGTTGCTGGCCTACTATTACAAATGCCACAAGGTATGTACACCTGTTTCTTCCTTCTCTATCGTGTGAAAATTGTGTTTATACTGGGGAAGTGTTCTCTTTTTGCAGTTTACAGCATTCAGTTTGACAGGTTTAACCGACTCATTAAAGTCAATCTGCTAGAAAACTCCTTACAACCACCACCCATACTCATTCTTACCAGTTTTAAAAAAAAAAGAAAAGAAACAAAAAACCCACCAAACACTTTTTTTTTTTGTACCCTCCTAGGTCCGTAGTTGCATGACCCACTGCAGTGCCTCTTCTGCTAGTAAAAACTGGTCATTCACTGCAGCAGTCCGGGCCCTCCATTGACTTGTTGCTGCCCCTCATCAGGACATCAGGACATCAGCTCATCGCTAGGGTCTTCTGGACTCTGACAGTTAATGGGAAAGGTCCACTTCACCAGGGAGCAAAGTGGAAACCCATAGAAGGAAACATCCCAATCAGCAGTTTAGAAGACAAAAGAAGGAAATTGGTGGGATGAATTGTATTTTCTTTTTTTTCCACTAATTTCGAGATCAGAGTTTAAAAAAATATCTTTAGCCAAAAAACATTTTTTTTATGTTTTGAATGGACTTGGACTGAGAAGCCCCCTTTCCTTTTGAAGGAGATTTCCCTACCTTTACACTCCCAGTGATGAGGATCACTGGGACAGGAAATTAAATGGAAGGATCTCCAATGGGGTCACATGAATGCTCTTTGCATCATCATGGCCTGCCCATCCTTGGAAGAAGATCAGAAGAAAAAAAAATAGGACCCCTGTGCAAATATGGTATAGGTCTGAAGACACCTGGAAATGTTAAAGTAAATTAAAACAAATATCAGGACATTTGTAGTGTGTGTGCGCAAATATACAGTGTGTGTGTGTGTGTATTCACCAGTGTGTGTCTGGCTGTGTTTACTTTTAATACAGGTATTTATATAGTGATGACAATTTACATGACATTTACACATTCTATTGTACTTTCACACCAGCTCCTGCCCTTTTGGAGCTTAAGGGCCCTATCTCTCATGCATTCACATTCTAGGCCAGTTTAGACACAAACCAATTAACCTACCAGCATGTCTTTGGAATGTGGAAGGAAACCCACACAGGCACAGGGAGAATGTGCGCAAACTACATACAAGTAATGTCTTAGTTGGGATTCAAACCAAGACATAAGGGCTAACCACTAAGCCATTGTGCTGCCTAATGTTTAGTTATGTTTGAAGGTAATGTATTGGAAAATTCTAAAATGAATGAGTGAGATGTTTTATTACCCTTGTGTAGTGTGTAATTCTGTATATTCAAAATAGCAGCCTGTCTGTTCCTTCTATAATGCAGACAATGTTTCTTTTTTAGCAACTCGGCACAGACATGGTGTTCTAATATTCTTTTCTGAAAGCAGTTCTGTCAGTCTCTTCAGACCCATAGACCGAAAGCCTGTGCTAAAATATTGATGACCTTCCTTTTGAAAATGCTATTTGACTGGTAGTTAGGCTGAGCCTCTGCCTTAAAGTGGTTGTAAAGGCTAAAGGATTTTTGCCTTCATGCATTCTATGCATGAAGGTAAAAAAACTTTCTTTCTGCAGCAGCGCCCCTGGCCTCCCCTTAAACATACCTGAACCCTATCTTGATCCAGTGATGTGCACAAGAGCCTCAGCTCTCTTGGGTCTCTCCCTCCTCATTGGCTGAGGCAGCAATGGTAGCTATTGCTCCAGCTACTGTGAATCTGAGCCAGTGAGGAGAGAGCAGGAGAGAGTCCAAGCTGGTTTCCTTGTGTGAACGGATAGGAATGAGCCTGCTCAGGTGCCCCCATAGCAAACTGCTTGCTATGGGGGCACAAGGCAGGAGGGAGGGGTCTGGAGCACTAGCGGGGGACCCGAGAATAGGAGGATTGAGGCTACTCTGTGCATAGCCATTACGCAGAGCAGGTAAGTATAACATATTTGTGTGACAGGAGTCACTTTGGGTGGGGGGCCCATGGAACCCAGCTCACTTTGGAGAGGTGGGGAGACCCCTGTCTCAGCTCCCCATATCCCTCTTATGTGTAAATCACCCTGTGCCTGTTAGGGGTACAGGGTGATCTGTCCTAATATTGTGTGGGCTTTGTCTTAGACTGTGGTGACATGTTTAGGAGATAGGTGGGGTGGGGGGTTGTTGATTGTTTAATGTTATGTGGCTGCATCCCATTGTTCTATTGTTTGTCTGGCTTGAGAGCAAACTATTATGGGATGTATGTGTTTATGTGTATTGGCTTAGTGGGCGGGGGGGGGGGTGTCTCCAGCAGCCCTCCCTCCTGATGGGACTGTCTGCTGGTTTGAAATTTGAATACCTGTGTGTCTCTTGTTACCAAATGTAAATTTCCCCGCCCTGTGTCATTATGCAGGGAGGGGGGATTGTCCCCTGAGTGTATGTATCTTGTATCTGTGTTCAAATAAAGTAGTCTACCTCTGAATTACTTCAAATCTGGTGTCGTCGGGGGTAACAATAGCCAGATTCACTGGTCGCATGTTCCAGAGCCTGAGAAGCAGCTTCTTGACAATGATACCCAGTCGTGGGTGTCTGGGGTCTGTTACAGTTTGTTATTAAAAAAAATTTCCTTTTAGAATCACTTTAATTACAAAAATGTAATAATCATTATGTGTAATTGCTAGTGCCTTGTCCAGCCATTTTTGTAGCAGTACGTTTCTGTGATCATGTGTACATCTGCTACCTTGGCTTATGGTATGGATAAATATCTCTTAATCATCATTATAGGTAAGCAACATTCCCGCATTCCTTGTCAGCAGTGAACATAGTGGTTTCTTAAATTTACATAATAATTTGAACAACCCCAGCAGAGACCGATAACCAGCTCTTATGTACCGTTGCAGGTTTGTGTGTTTGACAAATAGTGACACAGATTGTCCTTTGTTCCAGTAGGAAAATGGCCCAGTCTCTGGGAGGTGTGCAGTGTCCTATAATACTTCAGGACAGTACATACTGTAACACAGGGGAACCTAGTGACGTCCTCTCCGTCTACTAGCTTTTAGATGTTTGCTTTAAACGTGACCCCTTCACTGCCAACACAATGGGTGGGGAGCATTAAAACAAATTCACTCTCCTGCAAGTCCAAATTACTTATCTGTGTTGTGCAAGCCAAGATTTCCTATAAAACACTGGGTAAATGTCCTTTCTGTGTGGTAAGAATGTGACCTTTCCCTCTTGGCCACAACTGAGGTGTATTATCAATGACAAAGAGCAATCATGCGTTCCTGTGTTGCTCAACGGAAGACAATGTAATGGTTGAAATGATACCAAAGTTGAATTGGAAAACAGCTGTGATATGCATACAGGGGGTGACCTATTTGACCAGGGCTGTGGTTGTGGTTTTCTTCCACATGTTGATGTGTTCCATCTTGGCATCCCACTGCCAAACTTTGAGCAGTCTCTTTCCTCGGTTAAATGAGAGAATTGGGTACTCCTGGCTCCAGGCCAGTGGCAGGGTCACTTTGCTGGTAATGTGCCCTCCCAGCAGCCTCTGGTTTTTATTGGACGTCCTCTGACCCTCTCTGATTTTGTGTACTCTCCAGCCTTTTTTGCATGGTTTGTTGTTCCTTACCATACCATTCTATACACTATATACTGCTCCCCCCACCCTATTCTCTGCATACTGTGATTCCCTTCTCTGCAGTTGTCTGGGTACTTTACTTCTGGTTTCCTAAGCAGCCTGTCTGTCCATCTCTGCTGATATTCATGAAGGCAGAGTGCACCTCCCACCCAGGTCCTCTGTTTATTTTTGGTCTCTCCTCCTGGCCCTCAATCTTAAACTGGCTGATCATCCTAGGTGATCTGTACACTGAAAGGACCCTGTATATTGAGTAATGGCTACAAGAAAGTACAAAAACTTCATTGTATCCTGTACAGAGAAGCAGCTCTCACAGCTTTCCTTACTTCAGGTTCGGCCCCCTGTTTTTCACAGCTGAGTGATCCTGTGTAAATTGTGTGCTTTTGATTGGATGTAGGGGAAATATGGCTGCAGATAAACAGGTACAACGTATGTAACAGGATTTGTTACATATCTGTTTACAACCACTTTAACCAGTATTTGTGACACGTGACAATGAAATTAAATAGATAATTAAATCTAGTTACTGCATATACGTTAATATATACAGTGGATAGCCATGGGGGAAGAAGATGTGATTTTTATTTTCTGGGTTAAAAGTATTATGTAACTAAAATGAAGTATTACAGCATTGTAAACATATGAGCACTAGGTGGCAATACAGAGCTTTAACATTTTCACATTATTGGCGCTCTGCAGGTCTTCTCAATGTTATTCTTTTTATAGAACACTTTATTTTTTTTCTTTTAGCGTTTTTTGTAAGTGAACTTGTCACTTTTTGTTTTTAAGTGTCTAAGATTTCAGTGACTGATAAATTACAGAACCCGCCTAGTCAGAGGACAATAGTTCTTAGGTTAAAAAAAACAAAGATCAAGAAAAAATAGACAAGTACATTGTATTCTCAGATATCCAAATCCACAGATGATTCAGAGGAAGGCAAAAAAAACTTATAAAGGATGACAGTAAACTTGCTAGAGCCTTAGTGCCCAACCTACGGCCCAGAGGTTACATGCAGCCCTTTGGTACTTTACTTTGGGGCCCCACCAAACAATAATGTGTTTCCCTATTGCCCCAATGATTCCTAGAAGTCTCATGTAATATGTTTCCGGTCTGTGACTGTCACCTAAAGCACGTCCCCTGTTTTCCAAAAACTCCTATAGTATGTTCATAGTCTGACAGTGTCCTGCAGCAGTCCAACCTCTGACCATCTCTGTATCATGTCTGCAATCTCTGACTGTATCTTATATCATATCTGCAGTCTCTGACCCCCTCTTGTATCATGTCTGCAGTCTCTGATCATCTCCTGTTTCATGTCTGCAGTCTCTGACCCCCTCTTGCATCGTGTCTGCAGTCTCTGACCCCCTCTTGCATCGTGTCTGCAGTCTCTGACCACCTCTTGCATCGTGTCTGCAGTCTCTGACTATCGCTTGTATCATGTCTGCAGTCTCTGACCATCTCCTGTATTGTGTCTGCAATCTTTGACCACCTCTTGCATCATGTCTGGAGTCTTTGACCATCTTCTGCATATTGTCATAATCTCTGACCATCTCCTTTACCATGTTCAGAGTCTTTGACCGTCTCTTGTTTCCTGTCCGCAGTCTTTGACCATCCCTTGCATTATCTCCACAGTCTCTGAACATCTTCTGTATCATGTCTGTAGTCTCTGACCATCTCTTGTATCCTGCCTGCAGTCTCCGACCATCTCTTGAATTATCTTTACAGTCTGTGACCATCTCTTGAATTATCTTTACAGTCTCTGACCATCTCTTGCATTATATCCACAGTCTCTGACCATCTCTTTCATTATAGCCACAATCTCCGTCCATCTTTTGCATTATGTATGCAGCCTCTGACCATCTCCTGCATTATGTCTACAATGTCTAACTATATCCTGCATTATGTCTCTGACCATCTTCTTTATCATGTCCACAGTCTCTGACCATCTCTTGCATCCTGTGCACAGTCTCTGACCATCTCTTGCATCCTTTTCACAGTCTCTGAACATCTTCTGTATTGTGTCTGCAGTCTCTGATCGTCCCTTGTACCCCATCTGTATTCTCTGACTGTCTCTTTTATTATATCCACATGCTCTGACCATCTCTTCTTTCCTGTCCGCAGTCTCTGACCATCTCCTGTCCGCAGTCTCTGACCATCTCCTGTCCGCAGTCTCTGACCATCTCCTGTCCGCAGTCTCTGACCATCTCCTGTCCGCAGTCTCTGACCATCTCCTGTCCGCAGTCTCTGACCGTCTCTTGCATCATGCAGATAGTCTTTTACAATATCCAATTGTGTGTCTGCTGTCTCTGACACTTAATTTGGCCCTTTTAGTGATAACTAGAGCTGCACTTGAGGCCCCCCATATCATGAAAGTTGACCAACATTGTGATGTAGGAATGCATGTAGAGTTTAACTTTATGTAGAGTTTAAGTATATGACTCTAAACCTTTTTTTCATTTTTATCATTAGGTACAGCTGGTGTCTGTGTGGCAGGAGTTGTGTCAGAGTGAGATGCCCTTGGATCGACAGCTGACGGATTTCTATGACACCTTGCTGAGTGCATGGCACACACAGCTGCAGTGGGTCTCCCAGGTATGCCCTGTACACCTGACAAATGAACAGTTTCATTTTTATGAGCGTCTATTTAATCTAGTGTAGCATATCATTTTGGGGGGTGTTAATCAATCTCCCTCTCTCCCCTTCTCTTTCGCTCTTCAAATAAGCTTTATTGACAGGACCAAATATATTATGGCATTGCCAAAGCAATGAAGGGGTTATGTGGTGGATCAGGGTATGGAAAGAATAACTTCTAGGACATTATTAGGAGTAAAAGATGATATAAAGAGAATAGAAGGTGCATCCAGAAATTTTATTTCCTTTTTGGTTTTTTTTAGCTGCTTATATTTACAACCTACAGGCTTTTGAATCAGCACTAAGGGCTCATGTACACTTGCTTTGACTTCAACACACATTAAAGCGCCTAATGCTTTTTTGAAGCTTTAATGAAGCTTGGCAAATGCTGTGTGTGTGTGTTTTATTTGTTTTAAAGTGGCCCAGTAGAGCCCCAGCTCAGTAGTACCCCCACTTAGCAGATCCCCAGCTCATTTGTACCCTTGCTCAGCAGATCCCCAGCTCATTAGTACCCTTGCTCAGCAGATCCCCAGCTCATTAGTACCCTCGTTCAGCAGATCCCCAGCTCATTAGTACCCTAGTTCAGCAGATCCCCTGCCCAGTAGTACCCCCAGCTCTGCTGATTCTCCACTCAGTAGTGCCCCCAGCTTTGCTGATCCCCTGCTAAAAAGTACCCGTAGCTCTACCGATTCTCTACTCGGTAGTACTCCCCAGCTTTGCTGATCTGCTGTTCAGTATTAACGCCAAACTCTGTCTATCCCCTGCTCTATAGTAACCTTCAGCTCTGTTGATCCTCTTGTTTGCTGATCCTCTTTCTATGGTACGCTATTGCCTCCCGCAATATTGCTGCCACACTATGCACCATGTCAGGGGCGGACTGACCATTTCAAAACTCGGGCACTGCCCGGGGTCAGTAGGGGGCCCCATGAGATGCCCCTGGTACCTTTTTCATAGGCATTTTTGAGTTTGGGCAAGGACACGGGCCCCACGGGTAGTACTCCCAGCTTTGCTGATCTGCTGTTCAGTATTAACGCCAAACTCTGTCTATCCCCTGCTCTATAGTAACCTTCAGCTCTGTTGATCCTCTTGTTTGCTGATCCTCTTTCTATGGTACGCTATTGCCTCCCGCAATATTGCTGCCACACTATGCACCATGTCAGGGGCGGACTGACCATTTCAAAACTCGGGCACTGCCCGGGGTCAGTAGGGGGCCCCATGAGATGCCCCTGGTACCTTTTTCATAGGCATTTTTGAGTTTGGGCAAGGACACGGGCCCCATGATCCCCTATTGCCTGGGGGGTCAGTAGGGGGCCCCATGACATGCTCCTGGTACCTTTTTTCATAGGCTTTTTTGAGTTTGGGCAAGGACACAGGGGCCCCATGATCCCCTATTGCCCGGGGGCCCCATGAGTTGTCAGTCCGCCCCTGCACCATGTGTGACATTACTAGTATCTCCTGCTCCGGTCCCCCAGCTCTGCTGATCCTCTGCCACTCAGTCCTCTCTCTCCAGTCCGCTATAGCGTTCCATGTTGCACACCATGTGTGCCGTCTGCGAGGTGCTCCACTCCGATCTGGGCCCCACTCATCTTCCTGCTGCTGCTCACTGCACACCAGATGTGATGTCTGCACCAGACACTCCCATAATATATACACAAGAAACAGAAGTGACTGCTGGTAACCTCTTTCTGGTTCGCATGTTGGTTTCCCACAGTGCATCCTGGAATATCTCATACCTGCAATACCTCCAAAACAAAGCAAAGCTAAATCGAAATAACAGCCTCTCAAAAGCTGCAGGTGCTGCTAGCAAGCTTTGTCATAGAGTTCTATAGAGGCTTTTGAAATGCTTTGAAGCACCAAAAAAGTGACATGGCATATAATTTTTGAAGCAAAGTATAAACAGGATTGAACGCTTACCATTTTATTTAGTGACAGGTGCTTTGATTGGCACTCAAAGCGCTTTAAAAGAGCATGTCCAGTGCCACATTTTGAAGCAAGTGTAAACGAGCCCTAGCAGTGCATATAGCCATGCCAATGTAACACAGGCAGGCAAAGCCCACATGAGGCTGACAACTCTGCTCAGAATTCAGGAACAGCGTAGCAGCATTGTCACCCCATCATAGGAAACTGCATTTGTTGGACTCTTCTGGCAGGAACCAAATGTGTTTGTGGGACTTTGCAGGTGGACCAAGGGACACTTGGCGTTTGGTACAACAGCACATACGTCAAGTATGTGACGTTTCTTGCAAAATAGAACACAAAGATCTGCTACACATGGATGGGCCTTATGGCTCTCTAGTCTGGACACTAAAAGCTCCATCTTGCCTGAATTATAGTCTCTCAGCAACTGAAAGGCAGCCCGGCCATATCTGTTAACCACTTCCAGACCGGACACTTTTACCCCCTTCCTGACCAGGGCAATTTTCAGCTTTCAGTGCTATCACACTTTGAATGACAATTGCGCGGTCATGCAACACTGTATCCAAATGAATTTTTTACCATTTTTTTTAGACAGATAAAGCTTTATTTTAGTGGTATTTATTCACCACTGGGATTTTTTTTTTTTTTGCTATGTAAAAGTCCAAGAATTTTGAAAAGTGTTTTTTTAAATAAAATTTTGCAAATAAATAATATTTCATCATAAATCTTTGCCAAAATTTATTCCGTTTTATCTTTTTAGTAAAAAAACAAATTAGTTTATAACCAAAAATTATAATTTTTAAACTTTTTTTTTTTTACATCTTTATTTTATTTTTTTATATTCTTATTTTTTATTTTTATTTTTTTTACATACTGTCACCCTAGCAGTACAGTGTCACCATGGTGACACTGTACTACTTGTGGGGGGTGATGAAGATTTTTTTTTAAATTTTTTTACACTGATTGCTTTTACACCCATATAGGATGTAAAAGCAATCGTTTCTCTTTCTCTCTGTCTGCATTCTTGCACTCATTGAGAAGTACTGAGTGAGCTGTGATTGGTCACAGCTTGTCTCATGGTACAAGGCTGTTGTGAATAGCCTTGTATCATGTGACCTCTGTGATCATTCACAGATTTCACACGTAGTAAGCAATGATGTCACAAGTGACATCTTGCTTACTACTTTGCATTGGCCAATCAGTGATCACATGATCGGGACCTCGTACAGAGGTCCCGTCCGACGATCGGTGTTTCACTGTGTCCGGAGGACACAGCGGGCACCGGATCGCGGTGCTGCGCGCTCCCAGGGAGTGCGCACAAGCAGGGTGCGGGGAGGCCGTTTATAAATGGCCAGCCGACCCTGCACTGCCACCGTCCGGCCGTTTTATATGCAACGGCCGATCGGGAAGTGGTTAAAAGCGGCAATAGTAGACCTGTTTTTCTTACCATTATTCCTACTTCTTTATTGATCTTCGTGGATGGAGAATGAACAAAATGTTGCCTAATGTAGCCTTTTAAGCCAATTGTTTTCCAATAACATTGAACATGTAAAACATAATGCCATAAAATGTTATTGCAGCAAATAAGTCTATAAATGTAGACTTATCCAGAAGTGTGTAGTTAGTCCTCTGTGCAGGGAAGGCAGATGGAAAAAAGTAGATTGTAATGCATGTGTGACCAAGCCTGTGCCTCGCTCCACTGCTTCCAAACTGAGCTCAGCCTTGATGTGAGCAAGTGATAAGTTTTATGGTCTGTCCACTGGGCACTTGCGGTTTGAACCTACTTTCTTAATTGATATTCCTTTTTCTTATCTGATGTAACTTCACGTTCCCATGACCTATTTAGTCTGATACTCCTTACCTTGCAGTACACTTTAAGTGCCATGTCTCACACTGAGTGGAATTAGCTTTTTTTGAGGCCTTTGCTGGTGTTTTGAGAGAATGCAGCTTCTCAGCTCACTAGAAATTTGTGCACACACTGTCCAACCAGCATATCTAACTCAACCGAAGATGGATTAAGGTAGAATGATGCCATAGATGACGTAGCAGCTTTGGCCTCCCCATGAGTTGACATTAATAGGTAAGGGGAGGGTGGGAGATGGAGAGAAAATAACTCTCCCTATCCTTGTATAATGGTTTTACTGGTACCACACCCCTAATGAAATAATTGAAAAGCAAACCCAAACCACAAAAACTTATGGGGCTTTGAAACTACCACACCGTACCAATACAAATAAAGTAAAAACATTAGATAAAATTGAACACCTTTTTATTGGGTTTAAACACCACCCATCGATGGAAAAAAATTAATCAAACATAGGCACAAAAGGGCATATAATTAAAATTAACAAAGGATGTCTACTGTAGGCAGCATTCGATATCTTAGACGTAAGGATGTCACAGGCATCAGCCATGGCAAACAGCAGCCACTGTCTTGGACCGAAGTAGGCTCAACTATACAGATAGTATATGACATGGTAAATGGTTATCAGTGGAAATATATACATATGTAAACAAAGAACACCCAACCATTTGACATAATAGGTGTTAATGAACAACTGGTAATACAATATCCATTTGATACCATGAAAAATGCTTTGCGTTCTAGATTCCAACGCGTTTCGTGGGACGCAACCCACTTCTTCAGGGAAAAAGGGCAAAACATAAGTGCCTAAAATAAATAAATAATAAAAAAAAAAAACAAGAACATATCAATAAATAATATAAAACAAATACATATGAACACAGCAGAACAAAGTATAATAAACAGAACAGCAGCAATTACCAGTGGATGATATCCGCAAGATCCGAGATAGCTCCTGCTAAGTATAGATCAGTGGTTCTCAACCTTCCTAATGCCGTGACCCTTTAATACAGTTCCTCATGTTGTGGTGACCCCCAACCATGAAATTATTTACCCAGTAATTATAATTCATGAGTGTCGTTTTACCTCCAATACTGCTGCTTTCAACACAGTAGCTGCTTTTAACAGAGTAGCTGCTTTCAACACAGCAGCTGCTTTCTACACAGTAGCTGCTCTTTAC